GTTCAAATGGAAATCTGAAGTCTTTTTCCAGCACTGATCTATCAAACTATAGTAATTATAGAAATGATACTTTCTGAAGCCAGAAACCACCTCGCAGCCTTCTTAATGGTACCTTTGAATATGAAACAAACCAGAAAACGTATATAAAAACAGGGAACATTTAACCAAAAAACAATGTTATGGATGCATTACAAACATATTAAATCATCAATATATGCAACATCACAGTCACTTCACCATTCTAAAAGATACCTGAAAATATGTATAACACAAAAAGGGATATGATTTACACCAAGCAAGATACTGGGCCATAGAACCAAAGTTTTGACAATAAAAAAACAATGAGGGGGTACCCAAAACTAACTGGAATGAATATCAGGAGGCCAGGCGATCGCAGTACCAGCATCCGCCTCTAGCAGCACTAAGCGGCATCCTTCCCGAGTCAGTTTGCCGACTCATGTCGTCTGCTAATGATCTAGCCGCATGTTGTGAATTTTTTCGTCAAGTGCTTAAAATCATTTTTTTGCTGTTTTTTGCAATGTCTGATTTGAAAGACCTTACACATTCACAAAACGATTTCCTTTCAAGACTTTTCATACGAGCGAAAAGAGAAAAGTCACACGGGCGAGCGAGGTCCTGAGAATACGGGAGGTGGAGAAGCGGTGTCATGCCATTTTTGCTAAAACAATTGTTGCACTGACAGGGCAGTGTGTGCTGGGGCATTGTTGCGATGGGACCATTATTCCCCCTTTCCCTCACATCGGGGTGTATGTGCCTTCCTGAGCTTCGCGAGTGTCGCGAAATTCCCAGGTAAAACACCTGATTAGCAGGTTCACCAACAGGAACAAATTCGGAGTGAACAATGCCCACATTTTTCTGTGTTTTCTTCAGTTGAGGAGGTTGAGGGTCGTCCTGAACGAGGTGAGTCGTCGATCAATAATTTACTGGCCTAAAGGAATACTACAACAAACTTTTGGTGCTCATTTTTCGGTCTATATGTGTTCAAAAAAGCAGTATCACATCGAACACACCAATATCTTGTTAAAAAGTCACGAAAAGGAATTTCAAAACGAATTAAACATTCAGCAAAGAGCCCCTGGTGGATGTCGCTAACGCCTCATTTGTAATGCCCGTCTAGGAACCTTGAGAGCTAGTGACGGTAACTGTCTCGCCTCCCGCCAAGACGAGAGAAGAGGTGAAGGAGGAACTCACCTCTTCCCAAGAATCCCTTTTGTGTGTCCCAGAAGTCGCTGTTGTCTCCCCACGAGAATATAGAAGAATAATCCGTCGCTCAAAATTCGTACAAAAGCAGCCGCTTCGGTGGCTGGAATGACTAGGCCATCCTCTCGACGTCAGCCTCACCGTAGCTTTGCTCGTCCCGAGACGAACTACGTCACGATTGCGTCGGATGTCACGTGGTCTAATCTGGGCCTTCTCCGAGCTCTTGCCCAGAGTGGGCCGTTTATAACGAAAAATACAGCCACCAGGCTCAAAATACAAACGTGTGATTGTCATTTATGGATATTATAAACCATATTCAACCTATTTTTCAACACAACGGGTATATTTCAAATTTCGTTTGGTAGAAAAGGACTAATAGACTTGAGATTTTCTATTAGCATCTTCTTTGTAAGCTTTCCGAAACATTACAAGAGTTTCCGGCAGTTTTTCCTAAAACAAAATTTCACAGCCGCTTGCTGTTCCTTGATATCAGACATTGCAAAAAGAAACAAGAAATTATTTTGATGCGCTTGGAAAAAATATTTATAGCAGACAATGCCAGTCGGCAAACTCACTCAGAAGGGTTGCTGCTAAGCGCAGCTAGCTGGGGAAGCTGGTACTACAAACGGGCCGCCTTTCAGAAATTCATTCCGGTAACTTTTGCATCCACCCTGGTATGATTCACTGTGCCAAAAGCTTTCGACATGTGCCATGTTTTGAAGAAAAGATGGCAACCAGTCAAATAGGCTCAAGAGACCTTATGCAACATTGCTTGGTGATCTGACAACACTGAGAGCGTCGCTATTTTAATTTTGGCAAGCGTCGTCGGTACCGAAGCACGGTGGAGGCATCGGAGAGAGCCATATGGGCAGTGTACGATAGCGCAGCAGCTGTTTTCCGCCTTCTGACCATGAAATGTCGACAAACAGTTTAAACATCCTACTGCAACTGTCTCATGAACCTCCAAGTGGCGTCTGCACACTGGCAACACCCTCGCCGAAGCAGTTCAGCAAGTCCTACGCCTTCACTGTGGATCCTTAAAGGCCGCTGTACAAACGGGACGTTCTGCAGGGAAGAACCTTCTCTCCCGAAGCTGGAGACGGGGAGGGAAAGGGCCAGCGCTGGGTGGAAAGGGTGTCTAGAGAAGGGGATTAGCCTCGGGGCGAGCCATCCTCTCGAGAGGGAGTGGGGACGGAACAAAGCTGGCCGTGGGGGTTCTGGCTACCAGGTGGAAGATAAGCTTGTCAAACGGCGACCTCGGATGCGAGGACGGGCACGTCAGAGAATTTGAAAATAGCTGCTTAATTAGCCGGAGGACCCAGTGCGGTCTACTGGCTCTAGGAGGTGACTCGGATGAAGAAAACTCGTTTTGCTCCAAAACTCTAAAAGCATTCTGGAACGTGAACTCTTGCCACAAATAAAGATAACACATACATGAAAAACTACGAAGGCACCTAAGCTTTCTCCTATGATGTGAAAATGCGCGAGCATTACAGGCAGAGTTATGTTGGCGCAACTTGCAATAAAGAAAGAAAATAAAGTTATGTCGGCGCAACTATAACGAATAGCGCGCTAGTTTCACGATCAAGAGATCCTAGCTTCGAAACCGGGCAGGGGATGATTGTTTCTCGTGTTCTTTTTTTATTTCGTTTTTTTTTGTTCGGTCACGTGACAATAAAAATCACATGAACAGAATTCTTTTTGGCCACGTCGCCAGAGATTTTTTATTATTATTATTACTTCTCCTTTTCTTCTGTCTTTTTTTTCTTCTTTTTTTTCGGTTTACGCTCCCTTTTGCAAAACTCTTTGCACCTCTTTCGCGTTACATTAGCGTTAGCCAAATCATTTTATTTATGGCAGGGAATTCTGCCGTACGTATCTTATGTTACTATTACCAACCCTGGCTTACAATACGCATAGAGAATTTCGTCCGGCAACCAGTTTGGGAATGACGAGGCCAAATTTGTGTTATAATTTTTTTGAGGTATAAGCATAATTTCGGCCTCGTTATCCGTCGGTCTCTATGATTGGCTCTGCAAGTATTTTTTGGGAAGGCAGACGACTGGCATTTTTAGTGTGCACGTGTGTCGACCAGAGTGAACATTGCTGAAGCGCCTCCAGTGTGATTTTGGCCGTAAATAACTGGAGGCCCCGGGCAATCCCACCCAATGTAGAAAAGTATCTACCTTTCTCGTTTCATAGAGAGCTATGAAAGGGACGAATCCCAGCCGAGTCAAACTAGAGGCTTGCAAACGCAATCGTGTTGACAATAGCTCCAAGGAGTTTGTATGACTCTCTCTGGCAGTGTGCAGAGGGTAAAGGCACGGAGGTAATATATGCTTTCGCCTAGTCACCTCGCAAACGGTTGGGTATTGGCTGCAGAGATCCATTTCGCTTTGTTTTATTACCGGGATTATAGCTTGATTTCTGTGTTCCTAATTTCACAGACAGAACGAAATCGCTTTTCTCGTGTGGCGTCACGGCGGTGAGACAGGAATGAATCAGTGTACCGGAATTCGACGCTTGTGCTCGTTCTATAGCGCTTCTAAAAACCGTGTGATCATGGCTGTCCAATTAACGTCAACAATGCATAAACTGCAGTTACTTGTACTCGTATTGCATCGTGAGGGAACGACTATGACTGGGTAAACAGGAATAGGGAGAATGGGTGCGTGTGATTTATTGAAGTTCGAATCAACAAATCAAGCTTCAACGAATGCGCTAGTATTGCATTCACTGAACCAGCTATATGAGTTTTCAGACGGTATATACCTTCCAAGTATGCGATTCGTGTCCTGCCAGTGGTGCCTCAGCTAAGTTAAAAAAGCAAAATCCACATTGAAAAAAAAAATGTTTACGGTGACTCGAGCCGCTCCCGCGCCGAATCATGTTTCACGTAAGCGTAATCTTGGGGTATAGATGCACGACGAGTTGTCTTCAATCATAAAAATAGTTTGATTACGATTATTGGCAGCGCTAAGAATTTGAAAGCCAAGCAGTGAAGACAACGGTGTTCTCAGAAATATTATATACATTTTATTTTACACTGTTTGACTACGCTGCCGTCGTTATGTTCTTGAATTATTGGCTAGCTTGTGGCGGACAGGGAAGTCTTGCAGGACCATATGATAGGACCTACACTAAACCTGCCGCACTTCAAAAAATGTTAGTCCAATGCATACAAGCTTCTTCAAGGCGGACGGAGCGTTGCGCATCCGGCAAAGCGCATACAATCGCTGCCCGCGGCGTTTTTTTTTTTTTTTTGTGTGTTTTTTTGAGGAGCGAAATAATTTTTAGTCAAGCAGCAGGCCCCCTCTTCGGCGGGTTAAGCCGGATTAACGGAGGCGTCTCCTAATCCATTCTCCATGTTGTCCCCTCTGGGGAGGGCGGTAAACAGGTGGGGAGGGCGTTGAAGGAAGGAAAAAAGGGCAGGAGAGGAGGAAACGCAGAAAAAGTGGAAAGCGCGAACTGTACGGCGGCCTTTAAGGGCTGTTTATACTCCAACGTCGGCGCGACGAACGTTCGCCGGCGCAACGCGACGTCCGCCGACCATGACGTTGCGCCGGACTGCTATAAGAACCCGCTCGCTTGGCGGTGTCTATACTCCAACGTTGGCGAACGCGCTTCCCTAGTTTGCGCATGCGCGCTGGGCTTTTCCGGTGGCGCACTTCCGCTTCGGCGTTCTGTTCCAACTTTTGTAGGTGGCGTAAGCTACCGCCCGATCCAAAGGGCTCAGCCGGATTCATTCATCCATCCATCTCCACCGGGAGGTCGGGGTTGGCGGTCGTGTCCAGTCGTGTGCTTTGCAGAATCAACATGAACGCGGACGTGCAAACGAAACGAAAGATAGCTGCAGTGATTCTGTGGCGTCGTATACAACGAAAGAGAATACGTACGATGTACGTAAGAGACATTTTTGATAAGCGGAAAGTTTTCGGCGAGTTTTATCACCTGGTCCAGGAACTGCGAGAGAGCGACCCCGAGTACCATTTCATGTACTTCAGGTAAGGCCGGAAAGATCAAGTCAGATTCGTTTTGCAGAATCAACGACAGAACTAGAATTCAAATCTGTCTTTCTTTTGCAGGATGACAAAGTCCTCCTTCGACAGGCTGCTCGCTCTCGTCTACGATCGTCTCGTCCATGCGCCCACGCATCGTTCCCCGATCTCTCCCGCTGAGCGGCTTGCGATTACACTCAGGTAATTATACTGAGTCTCTCTATCAAACATCCCATAATTGTAGCCACCGCCAGCCATGACATGGCACTGTTGGAAGGGTTCCAGACAGAACCCTTCTGTTGGCAGGTCAGAAGTACAGACGGTCATGGGAACAGCACCAGCCAACATTACTAGCACAAACACTGTAGAATGACATCATGCAAGCCATGTATACGCGTTTCCAATGTTTACATATCTGCAGCCCAGCTTGCGACCTCCACAGACTAGCATGTGAATGTTCATCACTTGAGAAAATACCGAGTCACGGCCCATACGCACGGACTCTGGAAATGGCTCCGGCGGGAAGTCTTTATGGGAAAGGTCTAAAGAAAGACTCTCAAAGCAAATAGCGTGGGCCAGCTCATGCCTGTAGCCTTTGCTGCCCTGTGAGCTGAAGGTTGTATGGAGTACAGTATTACTGCAAGGGTTCACCAAATACTCGCAAACGCAGGTTTGAGATAATCTCTGTTTGATAACCATATTTAAACTTTTTCACAAAATCTCACTTGTGTATTAGCATCACTCAGATTGGTCTTTGTAATAACATATCTTAGCAGGATGTAGTTGCAGTAGAGATTATATTGGGGCCAAGTTGTAGCCAATCATTAGACCTTTTGATTAGTCACTTCTCTAACGCAGACAATCCATGCAATATTTCCAGGTTCCTCGCATCGCCTGGATCCTTGGGACACATTGGTGTCAGCTACAGGATGCACAAGGCAACATTGTCTTCCATCCTCCGGGAGACGTTGCCTGCAATCTGGGAGACGCTGGCAACCTTGTTTTTGAAGCCGCCAACAGCTGCCAAGTGGGAAGAGATCCGCAGAGAGTTTGAAGTTAAATGGAATTTCCCGAACGCCATTGGAGCTATTGACGGGAAACATTTTGCAATGAGATGTCCCTCCAACTCGGGGACAACATGTTTTAATTACAAGAAGTTTTACTCGATGCAACCTCTAGCCGTTGTTGATGCTCGCTGCCGATTCACTTTGGTGGACATTGGTGCCACTGGTCATCAGTCGGACGGCGGAGTTTTTAGAAATTCAAACATTGGGAAGGCGTTAGCTGCGAATTCCCTTCAAGTCCCCACACTCTTAGAAAAAAAGGAGTCCAAAGGGAGTCACTGCTTCCATGACTCTCTTTGACACTTCACGACTCTCTTAGAGAGTCAATTTTTCGTGTGACTCTGTTTTGACTCTTCCCCTTCTCAGCGGGAGTCACAGGCCAGCAGCATTTGTATTACCGAAAAAAAAAATTATGAATGCTGCTTCGCGGCGTCCATCCGGCAACCCAAGCCCCGCCGTTTCCCTATGCACCTCTAGAAAGAGAGTCCGACACCATTTAGTTCAAAGCTTTGCCGACATTTTATTTTCAATAATTGTGCAAAAAAAAAAAAAATTAAAAAGGAAAGGAAAAAAAAAATAATGCACAAAGTTTCGTCGACATTCATTTTTCTCAAGAATAATTGTAAAAAAAAAAAAAATGTATGTTTATTTTTCCATCGAACCTGGGTTCGCTTTGCAAGAAGCGGGCACCTTTCCACATAGCTACACCTGCGAGTACTCGTTTTGAGAATTCGTTTTATACGAGATTCAACAAGTTTCGCGTCGTGCACATTATTCGAAACCGAATCCTGCGTCTGCATTTTACATATTTCTAGAACTGTCGTGGGGTGCGTCTCTGGGAGCGAGTGAAGGTGCAGCAGCTTATTCAAGACTATACTCCGTTTCATACGTAGCATGCAACGCAGTCAAAGCTAGCGCACCGGTTTGCATCGCCGACCGTGTCCACGTTCACCCCATAAAATAGTGCGTCCCCTGCGAAAACACTTATAAAAAAGTCGAAAAAGGTGCCTCCTTGGATCTAGAAACTGATAGTGGTGTTATGATTTCGACGGAGCACACATTTTTTTCAATAAAAAGGAAACGATAATGTAAACTACTTTAAATTGTTTTCGTTTTCGTCCGTGCGGCAGCAGCTGCGGGTTTTCGGGTTGTGTGGCACTGGCTGGTTTTGAGAAGATGGCGTCTTACGCAACAAGCTCAAGTACCTCTCCTGCTCGGATATGTTCAAAGATTCGTTGTGCGCAGACCTTGAAAGAGTGCAAGCAGGTGATCGCCAATGTGTACGCGAGTAGAAGAACGCGTTTCCCGGAGAAGTCGGTCGTGAAGTCCTGGAGACGGTCAGTAACAACACCGGAGTGTGGGCCCGTACTGTCGCGAAGTACAAGGCGCAGTGTCTATCTGGCAAGCTGGCGTCCCCGGAGCGAAGACCTCGCCATGTAGAAGTTTCGAGCACGGAGACTGTCAAGCATGCCGAATTCACAAACAACGCCATTCGCCTCAAGGTGCATCGCAAGTACCCCGAGAGGGGGATTCCTACCCTTGACAGCTATTTCAAAATAAGCTGTTCAGGCCACAACTATTGTCGATTAACGTCCCATTATAAATTTTGGGGCAAGGCTGCTATCAGTGAGATTCCTCATTCCACGCTGCACGGAAAAAAAAATATAACTCGGTACTGCAGGCAAATAACACTTGCAAAGCGGCAGAGCAGATGGTAGAAATGTGGCCTCTCGGCGACTTACAAATAAATAGCAAGAAGAAAGGAGGAATCGAAATATGTAGTTCGGCAATGCGCACAATCTTGCACAAAAAATGGCTAAAAAAAAAAAAAAAAAAAAAAACTGCGCGTTTAGAGGGTTTGAACTACTGCCGCCGAGACGTCGGTATCGCCAGAGCAGCCCTACCACTCGTCCACGAAACGCGCCCAGGAACACTTTTTTTTTTCTGTATTTTCATGCGCACCACTTCAGTACCTTTGACAGCTATGCACGCTATGTATGAAAATGAGTATAAGTGCCCATTTTGAGAACCACACCACCACACTGCGAGTTGAAGCAACGCCGAAGGCTCGCGTCTCGCAGCGCCGCCTGTTGAATAACCATTCGAAGAGTTTGCACACTGTGAAGGTAAGAGCGCTCACACCGAAGAGCTCTCTTTACAACGCCTACACACACACAGAGCTCACAATTGAAGGGGGGCCACTGAGGTTTTAAGAGCCACTGATCGTAGCAATCGCATTCCAAAGACGCCGCGTTGTCGTAGATTGTTTTTCACCAGCTAGGTCCTATAGGGATGAGGCCAAGGCCAAGGCTGGGGGATTCATCGCCGGAAACGTAAAGGAACCAAGCAAACGGCGTGAGGCTCGCGGAAGCGGTTCGTGGGAGCCGACGACGTCCAAGCCACGATCCAAGTAGCCCTAGTAGCAGCCTTGCTTCCGAGAAGACTGTATATTCTTTCCGGCGGGCACACAATACTCCGACAGCATGCTTGCGGCTGATGTGGATTGCAAGAGGTGGCTAACAGGACGACCAATGCACAAAAAATAGGTTGAGCACAACACAGCACGCAACGATTGTCGCCGCCATGTTGAAATAAAACCAAGCTGAGACAGGCCAAGCTACAGTTTAGTATACGACGAAGCTGAGACAGGCCAAGGTTCAGTTTAGTACACAACCAACATACTTCATTACAAAGAATTAGATAAATGTTTAAACAAATTTTTTTACGTTTAATAGTTTTAATATATGTCGATTAAAACAGAAACATTCACGTTGCGTCAAATGAGTTTCGTCGTAACCAGCGAACGTCGCCGCGTCGGCCGCGACGCCATCGCCAGCGTAACCAAAATCAAAAACAAAGCAAGCTGCAAACTTTCGGGCGGTTTCAGGCCTTTAGTGCCTTCGAAGAACGTTCTCCGAAAAACAAAAAGTGTCTCAGATGTCGCCGTGCCCATGGACCGAGCTGTGGGTTTTGTGTCTACTTGGTGAGTACTCGTCTATTCGCTTGACTTTTTCAGTGCTTCCTTTTCGGAGCGTTTGTGAAGTGTCCTTGTGTGTGTGTGCAGGAAGCGTGAAGGCGAACGCGGCGAACGTGTGGGGCTCCTTGTCGCACACGTGCTTTGCGCATGTGCGCAAAGCACGTGTGCACGTGCACGTGCGCAAAGCACGAGCTTTTCCCGAGGAAGTCCCGCAACCGACCTGTCAGCACGGCCTGTCAATGAGCGAGCAGTCCGATTGCGGGAACGCACACAGAGGCGAAGGTCCCACCGAAGCCGGAGGGGGGGACGGGACTTCGTAAGTGTATCGGGAGCTTTATCTCGTGGATCGGTGGACAAGGCGAGTTCTACAAATCGGGTGGCGCCTTGGTACGGCTGTGGTACCACCTAACTAGGCGGTGTGTTTCGCGGAACCCGACTGCTATGGTACCCATTATGTGCTGGCGCTCGTATTTGCACCCCGTTTGCTTTTACTGCGGGTGTTCGAAATCAGGTTCGTTTCTCTGCATTGTTGATGTTGCTTTCGAAGAGGTCTTTTTTGACTAGGGCACAAACTTTTTATACAAAATGCTGTATATGTTGCAGTTATTTGGTAGCCCTCTGGCTGTAGTGTATTGTGAAGGTTGTGGGAAAAAACGCGCATTGAGTAATTACAAAAAGATATACCGGGTGTTTTTGCGAAGACTTTCAAAAATCCTAAAAATTAGGGCGATTGAACAAAGAAGAAGCTCTCTTCGGGAACAAACTACGAGCCACGGCGGACGGCAGGAATTGCCAAAAACCTACTAATTTGCCAGATAATTAAAACTTGTTAATTAACTTTTTAATTAGTGGAAATAGACATATGATTCCAATTAGAAAGTTGCTGAACGTTATTGAAAACCACTAAATCAGTCATTTTCAGAAAGACTTCAAGCGCTTGAGAAGAGTAGTAGCGCACTAAAATTACCACTTGTGGAGCAGGTACAAGGCTGGGGCTAGATAAGAGGCAGAAAAATCGCGCGGGCGCCTTACCGCAAACGCTAGCCTTGTACCTGCTCCACGAGTGGCAACTTCAGTGCGCTACTACTCGTCTCACGCGCTCAAAGTCTTTCTGAAAATGGCTGATTTAGTGGTTTTCGATAACGCTCAGCAACTTTCTAATTGAAACCATATGTCTATTTCCCCTAATTAAAAAGTTAATTAACAAGTTTTAATTAATTATCTGGCTAATTAGTAGGTTTTTGGCAATTCCTGACGTCCGCCGTGGCTGGTAGTTCGTTCCCGAAGAGAGTTTCTTCTTTTTTCAATCGCCCTAATTTTTAGGATTTTTGAAAGTCTTCGCAAAAACACCCGGTATATATATAATGTAGTGTCGAGTACCGTCCGACGGCACTCTTGCAGAACGTTCACGTGCCTTGCAGTGGCACTCCACTCACGTCTTCAAGTGCCGTCCGAAAGTCTTATGTAAAGCGAATTGTCAAAACGAGTTTTTCGAAGTTGTAGCGTAGCTTATTGGAAATTGTAGCATAGCTCGCCTCATAGGCAGCGTACCCGGATTCGATCCACAGTGTGGGCTTACTTTTTAAAATCTTTTTCTCGAACATTTTGTTTTGTCGAGGCATTTGGCGATATTTACGTCATTTCTTTTTTACCATTAACACTGGGAAAAAAAAAAGGATGTTGTCGACGAAACTTTGCTTAAAGGGGACCCTGCAACAACTTTTTGACTGGTTCTTAATTAACACCGAATTTGAGCGCACTGAACGTAGTAACTTAATCTTTTCCCAAATTTCGCTTTATTTTAAAAGTTATAGGCAATTTAGAATTACAAAAACAAACAAAAAATAACCTCTTTCATGACGTTGTAGGTCCTGGCTTGAGTGGCCGTGAACTAGAGGAGTAGTGAGCTCATCGAGCGCTCACGGCTGCTCCACTCCGTGTCGACGGCTCGAGAGGGCGCTACTAAAGCATATTCTGGATAGGCTGTATGAGACGGGTGGCCAGGGCGGCTTGCATTGCATTTGCTGCGCGATTAAGGACTAATTTGGCATAACACTTCATTGGCCACAAACTACAGCAAACACGGTGTAAAGATCAGTTCAGAACGGGAGCCACTTCGCGCTGCCATACCGCCAAACGGCCAAATCGCCAGCCAAGCCCGTGCTGAAAGCCTTCGGAACGCTCGGAACCGGTCGATTCCTCGATCCGGTATACGACCGCAGTGCCGCCGCGTACATCCGGGACCTTTCTACGCTCGCTGTTCGTCGGAGCCTCATCCCACAAGCCTTTTCTAGTATGCGCCGTTTTTTCCGCCGCTTGGTGGCGGGTTTGTCGACGAGTCTTTTCTTGTTTCCATACTTTATAAACTGCATTTGTTTCTTTTCTGATCTAAATTACCAAACAAAAACGACTTTCATACATAACTGAAACGGTTCGCGACACTTATATTTTGTATTTCGACTAAAAAAAAGCTT